AGCAATATTTCATTAGAAAATGGTTACTGTATTATGTTGCAGAATGTTGCTGCCTGCATCCTCACTAAAACTAACAAAGTAGAGAACATCCCCCCAGCTCTAAAGTCCTTCCACTGGCTCCCTGTAACTCGGAGAGTAGACTCTACTTCTCTTGGTCTATAAATCAGTAAATGGTTTAACTTCAAATTCGTACATTAAAGACTTCATAACAGTGGATCAAACAACCTGACCTCTCAAAACTTCTGGATCAAGTCTACATCTATTTTTCATATTTTCCTGCCTGTTTCCAGCTCTATGTTATCTAGATAAAGTTTGCTGACTTGTTTATGCTGAATATAGACGTGTTCTTACTTCCAGTGAAGTAGAAATGCGAACGTTTTTTATACATCTGAGTTGGACTCATTTGGGGTTATGACTCCAACAGCTGAACAAACCTCCTCTAACCCACGAAGGTCGGCCGCCCGCTGTGGCACAGAGAAACAACCAGAACTGGACTCCAAGCTTAAAAACATAAATTCATCCTCTGCTCTGTCAGTACTAAATACGTTTCATTCCTGATAGAAACCAAAGCCATTGATCACAACTGATTTAAACTTTTTCATATAGCGAGAAATGAAGGTCTCACGGGTCGGTTTTCTCCCTGTAGGGAAGGTGATCCAGGAGGTAAATTGGACTCTGCAGCCTTTGAAAGGTTTTATGGGTCTTTAATGTAATCAAGTGACACTGCTGTTGGTTTAAATGGGATCCTGAGAGGTTCTCCATAAAAGAAGCAGAGCTGGAGGAGCAGCTCAGCTCCTCTTCTTCCTCCTTCTGATGGTCTGACTCACCCTGACGCCAATTTTCCCTCTGCTCCGTCTGCAGGTGAACTTTGTGGTGTGTCAGCTTTGCGCTCTGATCTCGGCCTTCTGGTTTCGTCTCTTCCTCCATCCCAGTAAAACCAGTCCTTTCATCAGACATGTGGTGGCGACCGTGCTGGGGCTCTACTTTGCCACGTTCTGCTTCGGCTGGTAAGACGATGAACCAGAAACCCTCATGAACCCCGTTTTTTTCAGTTTTTTTTCATCTGCATGCAGTGTCGGGCAGATTTTGGGCAAGAGGGGCAGCAATTAAAGCAGAAAGGAAAACATAAAACTTAAAAAGACTAGATTCATGTTTAAATCCAAAGCTGAAAAAGTTAGCTTCTAGTAGCATAAGATCCCATTTCGGATACAGATAGAGAAAAAGGGGTCCCTATGTCCTCCAGCAGTCTAAGCCTATAGCAGCAGAACTATAGAGATAGCTCAGGATAACCTGAGCCACTCTAACTAAAAACACAGACAAATGATAAAACAGAAAGGATTTAAATGCATTTATTTTCTCAGGAAATATATTATTAACCTTTAGCACATTATAGTTTAGAACATTTACTATTTTTAGTGAGGGAAAAACTTAATTTAGATCTATTAAAATCTGGTTGCACAAATGACCTGATGGTACGGATCGTGCTGCCGGGACGGATCGGGTAGTGACAGTTCAAATATCCGTATATTTTGATTAAAAAAAAATAATAATTTCTAAACACTAATAAAAGTGAGACTCTAACCTGCAATAGTCATGGGGAAACTAAAACACAGTTTTTAACCTCAAACAACTGAGTAGGAAACAAACATTTATCAATATTTAGACAAATAAATAATTCAAATCTTGGTCTAGATTTCCAAATCTGGGAAAGTCTAAATCAATAACTTTTTTTTCCCAATCTTGTTTGAATTTAATAACTGTTTAATTTCCCATATGCCTTTCACTAACTTATATTAATGTGGTACAAACATGTAAAATCATAAATGCTTGTTATAAATTTACAGTATTCATCCTCAAAAGTTAGTTTTTCCACCCATGTCTAATTTATTCTCACAAGCTATGATGAGCATTTACTGAAAACGTGTGAGCGTCAAGAAAATTATTTCATCATTGTTATTTTGGACGAAAGCAACACTGATCTGTTTGAGTTTCTTAATGATTTTATTTCGCTGTTATAACTAAAATATTTTTACTCATGACTACATATAATAATCATAAAGCGTTCATATTTAAATTGTT